TCCGTAGTGTGTTTGTTCGGAAGAGAGATTCAGAGAGTAAAGGAACACCGAGTCATCCCGAAAAACCAGCCATAACCCAGACTATGCACGCCATATCGAACCCAGCTTAACGAGTCCTTGCCTGCACCTTTGGTGCGGCACCCTTGGCACCCTGCTTGCTGACCTTGGCGGCGTTGCCTCGTGCGGACGCGGCGGCGTTCTTGGCCTTCTCAGCCTTCTTCGCTGACTCGGCGGCGGCCTTCTTCTCCTTGCCCTCCTTGATGGCAGCGGTGCGGGCGGCGGTACGGGCCTCGGGACGTTGGCTGCGGCGCTCCTTGATTACGTCGAGCGAGGCACCGACGATGGCACGCTGGTGCTTGACTGTGCGGCGGGTACGCTTCTTCGCGACTTCCTGTTGGAGAGATGGTGGTTAGCGCAGTCCGCGATGGGGTAGTAGAGATGCATGTTGCGATGAGAGCAACACCGCCGCTGAGGATGTTTGCCATGCCCAAGTCTGTCCGCAGTGCAGACTGATGTCATAGTTCACTGCCTCTCAAACATGTCCCAGCGGCGTGTGTATGAGTGTGCGGCGACTAACCTCAGAGATACCCTTCTTGTGCGCCCTTCGGTAGAGAGTGGTCCAGTGAATCTTGCGAGGGTTCTTGCGCTGGAGGAAAAGGGACTCGGTCTTTCCGTTCTGGAAGCGGAAGATCTTGCTGTCACCACGGATGTAGAGCTTGCCCTGTTTATGCCATCAGCGAATGTCCGACCCATTGTAGTGTTCCATCCTCGTCCGCCACGTGTTCGCGTTGTCGCCGTCGCGATGGCGGGATTTCGACGTCTGAGGGGCGAGCGGCGGGACGTGGAGGGGCAATGTAACGCACCTTGCCCGGGTAGATCTTTTGACCACTGAAGGAATCGTCGTAGGTACGCATGTTGGCGGTGTTGGCGTGATACCTGTGTGTTAGTCGTGGGGTTGTCGTCGGTCGCGAATTCAATATTGCAACTCCGTAAGAGACCTGTGGGCGGGCTAAGCCTGGGCAGGCTAGTCTCTTGGCGCTGGCGCGGTGCGCGCCTCACCAAACGCTTTTCACCCACCCACACACCGCGATGCAACTTCAACGCGTCAGTAATTCTTCATTGCAAAGTGTGTAGTGGTACTTGTGAAAGCTAAGCATCTGTCGATCACTTTTACGCATCTGTACGACAGCTGTAAACCCACCTCTCTCATCGCGTTCAGTCTTACGGCCGCCTGGACAGCAATCACTCACCACAAGCGAATGCAGTCTCTTTCTTCATCGGCGAACCTGTTACCGAATAGTCCGATATCGTCCGATAGTTCCGCAGATGTCTTGCCCACGTCTCTCTCTACCACTGGATATGAAGATGCTCAGGCTACTGCGGTCCTTCCACTTCGACCAGCGCGGACTGAACATCACCTAGATTATGACCCTAGATATCGACGAAGAACCTGGTGATACACCTTCAGCGCGATAGTAGAAGAGCCTATGACGGCATCGTTCACGGCGTTTGTGTTGATGCCTAATCCATCCTTCACTCTGTCCGCCCCACCCACACGCCATGATTTCTACGTCATTTTTGGCATCTTGGTACATCCGGAAGGCACTCGCATACTCTCATGCTGATGTGATCTAGCTGATAAAGCTAATGTGTATAGCAAGGGCCACCGTCAAAACAGCTCGAGAAGGTTCGTCACTACCGGATTCGTCAGACCGCAATACTGTGGGCGGTAAGACCATCAGAAGGTCATTGAAGCAGCCATCAACGTCCTAGCCACTACACCGCAAGTTTAGCAGAGAAATGAGTGAAACAGCTCGCGAAGAATATTCGGTACTGATTCCACCGTGGGCTCTCCGTTTGTCTTGTAAGGCCTGGAATACTCATGAACTTACAGCCCGATATTGTTCCAATCACCGAGTACATATAAAACTTCAGCAATATCAGCAACAAGAAAGTTCTTCCCAATGTTACTTGTCATGGATCCTTCATCACACAAAGTATCGGTTGCGTCCGCCGGTTCCGGTATGCAGTTACGAGAGCATGGCGATACAACGTTTGACCCGACAACGCATCGTCTCGTCACTGCATCGACGCCACGGTCTGCACGAGCGAATGCAGCCATATCTACCCCTACTCTACACGATCAAGATCTGGTAGATGTCATGGCCGAGCTTGAACGTCATCAATCTGATCACCGAGCGGCCTTTGCCTTCGACACGGCTCAAGGCGGCCGTATCCATCCATTGAACGAGGATGAGCTAAGACACTTCCGCAAGGAAAGAGATGGTGCCTTTGGTCCATCTCAGTGGGATACGCCGAACCTTAACGAAGAGTTGCCGTTCACTTTCACATCGCTACCCAGTCCTGCGGCAGTCGAAAAGGCGATCAAAAGCGACATTGGAGGTGAGAATCACTTCCGTTTTGCACCTTCGCGTGGCTCGCCAGAAGACGATGCAAATGCTGTTATGCACTTGCTCGACAACATCGGTAATCCGAGGTACTCTGAGCCTGGCGCGGTGGTCCATATGCAGTCGCCTATCTTCAACCAGAAGAAGCGCTGGATACCAGGGTGGGAAGGGGACGGTGTACTGGGTCAGTCAGACTTTCAGATGACCGTTGCTCCAGCAGGCGAGGTATTCGAGTTGGAGTACCACGAGCACCACTTTTCCACGACGCTGTTGACCGGCTCGAAAGTATGGTTCACCTTTCCTCCGCTGCAAGCCAATCTAGACCTGCTCCGTAAAGCGTACGAACGTATGCATGACAGCAACACCTCACACGTTCCCCTGGATGTTCTTTCGGGAATGCAACATGGCATTGCAATCATTCAGAAGCCAGGACAGACCCTCCTGCTCCCACCATACTGGTCCCACATGATATTTTGTACCGAGACGTCAACATCGTGTAGTTTCACTTTAGCAACCGCCGCGCAATTCATGTACCGCATCAAGCACATGGATCTGTGGGTCAGCCACAATCTCTTTTGGGAGACGGGAGAACAGCTACAATTCCACCTCGTGCGCTATGCGTCGGAGCTCGCAACTCATTTCGCGACCATTATGACGGGCGATCTCAAGCGCTTTAAAGTCGCTGCTGTGCAGAACCAGATATGCAGCGAATGGGTCAAGACTGGGCCGAAAGAGACCCCAGAGTTTGAGAACATGAAAGAGAAGATTGGCGTACTTTTGTCATTGATTGAAGACGAGGACGCGAGAGAGAGAATAGATGATGAGATCCGACACGCGTGGATTGAGTTCACGGAGGAGAAGCGCAAAAAGAGACCAGAATGCCGGTTATGTCGCGTACGTATCGAGCACATGCCAGCGGGAGAGACGCCAGATGAGCGGCTGGCACGACATGTCACCGACGTGCACTGCTCGTACGAGGAGTAATCATTTCGACATGTCCGTCGCAGCGAGAGGTGCACTACTTTGGTGCATCAAATTTTGAAGGTCTTATTCTTATTCCCGGGACGTTCCACAGCTGTCATGGAAGAATTCAAATACCTCGCCCGCCCATCTCACGCCACTATCATTCACTATTAGTATGAAGACCCACGTCGCACAATGCGAGTCAAGTCGTCGCAGCCGCGCAACCACGGTGAGGGAAAAGAGCATCGGATCGGTCCCTGCCATCCGACACTAAACCGCCCGGGCCGGCCGCCATCTTCAACCACCAAGCCCAAACAGGTCTAACAAGCGGAAACGACCCACGACTTGAGTTCATGCCCCCGCACACTACACCCTGAAATCTTTTGCCTCCGGTGGACTAGACCGCCGCCATTCTGGCAGCTAGGATGCGCCATTGTCAGCAATCGACACTTTTGTACAAAGCTGAGCTGCGGCTGAAGAAATTTCCTCGAACCTGAATGGAAGGCCTGATCTACGACCGAGGTTCGGCTCGTACCTGCAGACGAAGATGCAGGAGTGGAGAAGGCATTAGACATGTTCTAGGTCGGAGGGGAGAGCCAAATCGGGTACCTATATAAGCACAATATGTAATGAACGAACGGGACGGCAGACAAGAAGATATTACAACACAAATCTCAAATTTACCTATTAGTCGAGCATTTCTACACGCGTCCTACCCACCTACCCACATCTCCAAAACCTCCATCAGGGACGATCGAAAAAATAAACATCACTATCGACAAAGCCTGTCTTAAAACTACCTACCTACATCTAAAATGCGTTTCCTCTCCACCCTCCTGAGCACCACCCTCAGCCTCCTCACCCTCACCTCCGCCGCCGCAACAATGAACACCACAAACGGCATGGGCACCACGCCCTCCCAACGCTACGTCATCTCCGCCTCGCAAGCACAAACCGTCATCGACGCCGCCATCACCAACGCCACATCCCTCCAGATCCCCGAGAACATCGCCGTGGTAGATCCGTCTGGCCTACTCGTCGCTTTCCACCGCATGGACAACGCATTCATCGGCTCCATCGACATTTCGCAGAAGAAGGCTAGGACGGCTGTGCTGTTCAACGGGTTGTATGCTAGTGCGGATTTGTATGCGGCGGTGCAGCCGGGTGCGCCGCTTTATGATGTGCAGAACACGAATGGTGGGTTGATCGCTTTTGGGGGCGGGATACCGATTTACCTTGAGGGAAAGTTGATTGGGGGTGTGGGTGTTAGTGGAGGGAGCGTGGAGCAGGATTTGAGTGTTGCGAATGCGGGTGTGGAGGCTTTGGGGGCGACTACGAAGGCATAGGCCTAAGGGGTAGCCGTGGAGGACTGTATTCGATGTTTAGGTCGCTAGCGAAGATACTGTGACCATGAAGTCATCGCCTATGCCTGACCCCGCCTCATACTGTGATAACGACACATGCGTGCTCAGCATGCATTCCCACTATCCTCTCTCTTCTGGCGCTTAGGCCCCCCTCAAACGATTGTGGGAACCCTCCTCCAAGGCGCTGCAAATCTCCATTGCGCACCACTTCCTCCGCAAACATGAAACTGCCAAATGCACATCAGCACGTCAGACTTGGAGAAAGTTACCTCATGAGCTCATACGTCTGGCTCCTCTCCATGCCTTCTATCGCATCTTTGGCATCGAGCCTCGTTCGTTCCTTGACCCCCTCCATCTCCGCGATCGCCGCGAACCGTTCTTTCCAGAGCGCCCATCTTTCTTTGCTGAACTCGCTTTTGCCCTTCCAGAGTTCGCCGCCGCGTCCTGGGTTGCCTTGCTTTTTATCGGTGGGCGTGAGATCTTTTTCCATGCGGAAGAGGTCGTGGCCGTAGGCTATTATCCAAGCTGCAGCTGCGGGAACGTTTGCGTCGTACTTTTGGTTGGCCGTCGACATCGGTTCATCGATGGGAGGTGTCTCGAGAGCTTCCCGTAGCGCGAAGATGGCGTACATGGAGAGATCGTAGATATGTTCCCTTGCGACAAAGGCGAAGAAGTAGTTCATGTTCGTCCAAGCTTGCACCTCCGTCTCGATGAAGCCTTCGTGAGCGGCTGGCGCGTCGTTGAAGGCCTCACGACAGGCCATGCCAAAGTCGGTCATCTCCTTGTAGAGGTAGTCATACTCCTTGTTGTCCGGTATTGAGTGCTCCTTGAATGCGGCGAGTAACTCGATGAGTTGGTGGTGCTGTGTTCGGGCGCCGTCGCGGAATGTTGATCGTCTTGCTGAGTGAATGATGCTGGTCCATAGGTCCATGAAGTCGACATCGTCGAGTTTGGCCTCCTTGATCTTTTCATCAATCGGTCCGAGGATGCGCGCCGTCGCTTCTTTCACGTCGATCTTCTCATCGAGGTAGTCTTGAATCAATGGGTAGTACGCGCTGTCTTCTTTTGGACGGAACCATCCTCTTGTCTTTGCAATCTGGTCGATTTGATCTGCCTCGTTCTGGAGGGTTGGGAGGATGTCCTGGATCCTTTGGTTTTGTTGCTAGAGCAGAATATCAATTATGAGTTAAAATGAAATCAGTATGAGCAAATACCGCTATGCGAGCCATCGTTCTGATCGGTGGAGCGAGACGTGGTGCGCTTAGGCTGGTGGGATGAGACAAAGGTACACGGTGTTTCCTTCTAGTGATGTCATACGCGGCGGTACCACGGGCAGTCCTACTAATCCCACGTGTATGCCTCGTTAAGGCAGCTGGTGACCTGTGCCGGACCAGTCGAAGTACGCTATGAGGCATCCCTTTCTGAAAGTGGATACACACGGCCAGTCTGTGTTGATAGGCGCGGAGCATCGTCCGCGTAACGGAAGGCAGGCGTTCGGTTGGCTGGACAGGTGCATGGTACAAGAGCGGCTGTTACACCTGTAGCAACCACGCCTATAGTATAGCCGATCCGCGCTATGATGGTCCTTTGAAGTGCGATGATCAGGATCGAAGCAGGAAGTCTTAAGAGAAGCTGATCGCCGAACGTGTGGGTGATCAACCCGAAGCTGTCGGTAAACAAGGGTCCTCGGAATGCCGGCGACGGGCTTCCCGCAACCTTGGAACGTGTCTTTCTTTGCCCGCGGGGCACACCTGCATCGCACGGCAGTGATAAGGCGCGCGTCACAACAATTCAATTTCAAAGCTTGAGTGAGATTCGGTGATCGAAGGGGAAGTTTTTGCATTTCATGAAGTCAGCGATGGCCTCGGGAGGTATTCGCTATTCCGCAGTACCACCTGGGTACTGTACCCTTAAAACTACGATGTATTCTTCAACCTTGTCTTACAGCAAAAAATGAAATGCGCCGTTGACTGAGGCTTGGGCTTGGTATCGGCTCGATCTGGTCAAAGAGATTCCTTTTTTACAGCTTCGCACCCTTCTCCCTTTCCGCCAAAGCTCTCAAATCCTTCCGAAGAATCTTGCCTGCTGGGCTCTTAGGAATCTCATCCAAGAATATCACCTAAAACGGGTAAACGAAGTCAGTATTTGTATCGCATATGATTCCAGCGTGGGGGCTACTTACACCTCCCCTTAACTGTTTATGCCCAGCAACCTTGCCCTTGACGAATTCAACAATCTCTTCCGACCCAATCTTACTCTTGTCAGCGACAACGTATGCTCTCGGCACCTCATTCGTCCCATCGTCTGTCAGCACCCCAATAACTGCAGCATCCAGAACCAGCGGATGACTGAGCAGCACGGCTTCCAACTCCGCCGGCGCAACCTGTAGCCCCTTGTACTTAATCAACTCCTTCTTCCTGTCCTGCAAAGATAGAGGTACGAAGTCAGTATATGCCTCACATGCAATTCGTACAGTCAGAACTTACAACGATATAAAACATCCCATCCCTAAACTCCGCGATATCACCCGTATGAAACCAGCCATCGTGGGTGAAAGCCTCTTTGTCGGCGGCTTCGTTCCGATAATACCCCTTACACACCACCGGCCCCTTCACCAGCACCTCCCCAGCCATCCCCTCTTCCACATCTCCTCCCTCATCATCAACAAGCCTAGCCCGCATATTCGGCAACAACATAGCCACACTCCCCGTATCATCCCTTCTCCCAGGCGTCATAATCGTCGCACTCCCCGTCGTCTCACTCAAGCCCCAGGTCTGATCCACAAAACACTCTTCCCCACCAAGTTTCTGACTAGCTGCATACTGGAGATCTCTTCCTAGTGGCGCGGCACCCGAGACACAGAATTCTAGGGATGCGAATTGCGTGGTTGCTAGGGGACTTTTGGCGATTAGCAAAAGGATGGGGGGAACGGTGAAGAAGAATGTTATGTGGTAGCGGGCGTTGTAGGTGAGGAAGGATGGGAAGTCGAAGCGGGGCATCCAGTATACGGTTCCGGCCAGGTAGAAGGGGTTTATGAGGTAGCCTTGTACGCCGGCTATGTGGGCGGTGGGGAGGTCTGGTGGGGGAAGTCAGCTTACATCTCGACTGTGTTGGGCATAAAGGTTTGACCTACGGGCGATTGTGCGGTATTCAAAGTCCAGCCTTTTCTCTTTCACCCACGCTTTCATCATATCCCCCGTACTAACAGTCTGGCTCACCATATTCCGGTGTGAAAGCTTTACTCCCTTGGGTAGCCCAGTCGTCCCGGAGCTATAAATCAGCACTATCAGACTCTCGTCCAGCTCTTTGCTATCCGTGATCCGCGTCCACGGCAGTAAATCTCCTTCATCAACGATGTCCTTCCCCGGCCTCCCATCTTGACCAACAATCTTCAACGTCCATTCCCTCCCCTCACTCATAAGCAGTACGCGCCCGCCTCCACCCCGACCCCACCCAGCGTCCTCTGCAGCCCTAATCGTAGTCTCCAGGGTAGCTTGACAGGTAACAAGGATCTTCGAGCTGGCACCTTGTAGTTGCTTGGCTAGTTCGCTGGCTGTGCTTGCCGCGGAGGCAGCGGAGAAGATACCGCCTGCACCGATGATTCCATACGCGAGCACGGGCAGGAGGTAGTGGCCTGTTGAGATGACGGAGCACACATCTTTTCCTGGGCCATGGGCGCCGATACCAAAGTGTTTGCGGAGGGCGGCTGAGGTGGCTTGGGTTAGGTGGCGGGCGCGCGATGTGGTTAGGATTAGACTTGGGTCTGCGGCTGAGACGTGGAGGGGAGTGTTTGGTTTGGCTAGGCTGTGTTCGGAGTCTACAGGGGAATGTGTTGTTAGTTGAGGAGGTTGTTGAGGTAGGTGTTAGGTGCTTTTGCAGCGGTGGGCCTACCGAATAGGAGAGTTAGTACATCGAGGTCAGGGATCGGGTAGCTTTTCTCGGAGCGATAGATGATTCCATCGGCCGTCTTCTCTACGACGGTAGCCATATTACTGCGAGGCTCCTTCTTACTCAAACACAATGTATGCGAATTCAACTAATAAATGCCGACGAACGAAGCAGTAATGGCCACTACGGTCAATGGTACCACAAGACGTGGTTCTCGTGTATTCGGTTATGTATACTTTAGCTAGAGTAGCCGCACGATCACCCTTTCATAGCGACGCGTTTCCTCGGCTCCCTCGTTCCAGTCTGGATTGGCTGTCGATCCATCTGTGGCTTCGGCAAGCCTGGTATGTCAGTACTAGCGAGTAAGCGGGGTAAGTCGGGGTAATCAACAGCAGCCATGCGACTGGGCGCCATCGTGAGGCTATTCAGCTTTGACATATCAGATACTGATTGAGACGTGCAATGCTTGCTCGCGATTTACAAGTCCTTGCGCCGTGAGCGTGGGTAGGTCATGATATGAGCGTCGTCTTTCAACCTCTGCGTTTTGCACTCGGCTCGTCATAGGCACCTCCAGCATCATCCCCATCGGCGTCGTCTCCATCAGCAGGTTTGTTGGCCTTCTTTGGCTTTCGTCTCTTCCGCTTGTGCTTGACGGGTGGTTCTTCTGCAGCCGCAGTGATCTCCATGGGTACTTCCTCTGGCTTTCGCGATGACACCTGAACGGCCTTTTCAGGAGGAGCTTTGGTTGTATACGCCATCGGAAGCACTGCGGGTCGTGCGATCGGAGGCAGCTCGGTCTCCTTTGCCATATTCTTGCGCATTCCTCTAGGGTTCTCTGCCTTGAGCAACGCAACGTATTCAGCAGTACGTTTGGTATGCTCGACCTTGGTCATTATCTTCCAATCCTCAGGCTTGTCTGCTGCTCTCCACTTTTGCCAAACATCGTTGTGCATTACGCTTCCGCTGAGGACAACGAAAGCGCAGCTGTTCCATAGTGTATGGACTGCTTGTATGGGTAGCCACTTGGACCTCAGCTCGCCATGCTCTGCAAGCCAGTATGCTACCTTTGCTGGCGTAGGACAGATGTTGCGGAGGTGTGGCTCGACGTAGATTGTGCGCTGGTCCCAGAATGCTAGGCCGTCGTCATCGGTGACTTCGAACGAGTTGTGGGGTAGGTATTTGGGAGGGTACGAAGAGGGCTTGCGGCGGACATGGTAGCCATTGCTCGAGAGCTCTAGCATCTTGGAGGGGTGGTCGCGGAGTGCTTGCTGAAGGAGGATCTGGGAGGCTTCGGGCTTCAGGGAGGAGATGTTGGGGTGTTCGAGGATGGCGGTGAGGTGGATGTCTGTATACCAAGTCAGTTATGGGGGCGGACACAGACTTGGGCATGTATACAATTCTCCTCGCCATCGACGGTTCTGTAATGATCCCGCAGCCACCTGGCGCGCTGCTCTTCCTGGTGGGCATAGTTGGTGAATATGAGCTCGATGCCAGCAGCAAGCTGGCCAATGTACTCTGGCGTGACGGGCTTGGTGGTAAATCTGGGACCAGGCTTGGTGGCTTTGAGGTCAGTCTGTTCTGGCTGGTCAGTGGGTGAGCTGGTTCTTGTCTTCTGCATCGCCTCGACCAGCGCATCGTCTTGGTCGCCTTCAGCAGGCGCTTCAGAGGGAGCTTGGACAGGCTTGGGCCGCGTCTTCTCGCGGACGCCCTTGAGCCTGAGCGCTCTGGGAATGAACATGGCACCGATGTTCCGCTCCCGTGGTGGAGAGAGCTGACAAGAATTGGCGTCGCTGAAGAAAGTCGAGTGCCATCGCAGACGACATTCGCGACGCGCCGCGGCTCAAGCACGGACCTACGTCAGTCCCCAGAATCTCAATTTCCCTACAGCGCTGTCGACCAAGAACCTCACAAACCTCCTTCACACCAGACTCTACCTTCAAGCGTCAAGATGGCAAAAGAGAAGAACTACAACCCCGTGCAAGAAGCCAAGAAGGCCGAGAAGCAGAAGCAGATCCGCAAGCAAAAGGCCAACCTCCAGACGCAGCGCAACGAGAAACTCGCGCGCCGAAACCCCAATCGCATACAACGCGACATTGACAACCTCAAAGAACTGGACCAAAGCGGCGCAATACGGCCACATGAGCGACAGCGGCTACAGGAGTTGGAGAAGGATCTCGCCGCGGTCAACAAGGCGCGCGCAGCACTCGGCGACAAAGCGCCCGTCTTCAAGCCAGAGCGGCAATACAACAACGACGACAGAGGGCGGGGAGGTGACCGGGGAGGTAGAGGCGGTGGCATTCTCGGCAAGCGATCGCGCGATGGACAGCGCAAAGACGACGACAGCAGCGACACAGACGATGACGTGAAGCGCATCCCCATGCCACGCGACACACCACCGCCTATACCGCGAAAATACCTACCCCAAGACCCGCAAGACGAAGCCGCAGCGCCCGCCGAACCCAAGAAACCCACCATCGTCTACGAAGCCGCACCCCAGGTCCGCGATCTGCGCAAGGAGGCAACGAGATTCATGCCTGCGTCTGTGGCGCAGAAGGTCAAGCTGGCAAAGGGCGAGGGAAGATTACTCGAACCTGATGAGTTTGACAAGTTGCGGGAAGGAGGATATATGAATGAGGGGAAGAAGAAGGATGGCACAGAAGAAGGTGCTGAGGAGAAGGTTCCACGAACGGCCGAGGATGAAGAGCTAGATGCTTTCTTGAGGTTGCAGAATACGTCTGCGGGTGATATGGCAGAGCAAGTTGCTGAGGCTGCGGTCCAGGAAGCAGAGTACAAGATGATGGCTGCTGAGGCCAAGGGGCAGATGGAGGGTATATCTGATGAGGCCAAGACGGCGGAGAATACACTCAGGCATGTGCAGATGGAGGAGGTGGAAGATGAAGATTTATAGGACATGCTGGGGTTTTAAGTGTATCATGAATGACTTACATCTTCAACTGTTCGTCTCCCTTGAACTCCCATTCTCCTTGTGGTTACAGCATTGAGGCACACACCCAAGGTAAGCGTCGCTGCTAGAAGATGGAACTGAGTGTCGACGGATGCTTTACGAGGGCAAGATCATTCGGCCTAGCCACATTCGATAATGAGTTTGATCGTCCAAGGCACAACGAAAGACAAGTCACAGCAGAAGACAGATTGTTGATCATTGTTATTTCATTCATGGTAGGGTATATAGATATGCGGCTTTCACGCCGAAAGGGTATGTTCCGTCCATCGCAGTATCATGGTCGTCCATTCTCAGGTCTTCATGGTCGTAAAAGAGGAGGAGGTATCGTAGCTACCAGGCAACAGCAAGAAGGAAGCGAGTGCTTTACTTCTTCTGGCCAGTGGCGCCAGAGAGGGTGTCGGAGATGCTCTGGCCAGCGTTGCCGAGAGCGTCCTGAGCTTGCTTCATGACACCCTGGCCCTGGGCGGAGGCATCGTCGCCGCCTGAGCGGGTGGCGTCACCGAGCTTCTGTCCGGTGGACTTCTGGCCCTCTGGTGTGTATGTTAGTTGATGGTCGGGTGGTAAGTGGTGAGTGGAAGAGACGTACCAGGCTGGACCATACCGGCAACGCGGTCACCGGCTCCAGTAAGGCTCTCGCTGGCCTTCTCGGTGGTGGACTTCTGGGAGTCGGGAGTCACTGAGAGACTGTCAGATGGTGCACTGAAGTTGGGTGAAAGCAGTAAGCTTACTCTTCTCGGAGGCTTGCTCGCCGAGACCCTTGCGGAGGTTGTCAGACATGTTGGTAGTTGGTGGTTGGTTGGTTGAGGGTTGAAAGTGGTAGTTGTAGTTGAGTTGATTGGAGTTGAGTGTGATGAAGGTTCGAGCAAAGGGAAGCAAAAGCAGTCTTATATACTACCCTTAAGCATCGTCCAGGCTGCAGTGACGTGCTACGAAACCCGTACGTCATCCCTCGCGAGGCAGGCACCGTAGCCGCAAAGGGTGTGGGTGAGAGAGGGCAGCAGCAGTCGTACCGTGTACTCAGTGGGCCCTGTTACTTGCTCCTTCACATGTACGGTTGGCAGGGTCTACAGGGGTTCCTGCCAGGATGTATACCAGTTTGCAGACGCCACAACCCGCCACGATAGGTAGATCAGCACTTCCGCTATATGTGATTGATGGTAATCTGGCGCCTTTGCATGGCATTCGCGTCATCTGGCCATGGCTCAAGGTGGGTACGGGTTCCAGATCTTCTGCCGCGGGACGAACACTGCCCCGCTACGAGCGAGATACGCTGTACAACTTGAATAGAGGGGCATGTGCTGCCGCGGCTGCCCCTCTCCCATAATTGCTTTCTGAGCTGGATAGTTGGTAGCGTAGCAGAGACATAGTTGGTAGCGCTGGATTAGCATCGGTTCTTTCTTGGTAACGGTAGACTATTTCCTCGCCCTACTTCTAGCTCACAGCCATGCTCCGGAGTAGGAGCCGCTGTTTGCCAACATCGGGTACGCGAACAGGGCGAGGGTTTAGTGGGGCAGTACCCCGCTGACGTAGCTCAGAGGCACGAGGAAGTCGCGCAGCACGTGACCTGCATCATCACGATTGCACACTAACCCCAATCCATCACTCACCACACCACGCGCTGCGCGTGCAAACATCCTACAGACTTCAACACGTCCAACTTCTGCAGTTCGGCTGAACGGCGGCAATCGACTTCACGCGTACCGCGTACAGTGGACGGCGTTGCTAATTCTGGCCTTTTGCCGCTGAGCGAAAACTTGTTTGACATCTGTCGCAGCCTATCCACTTTTCATCTCGTCAACGTCGTCAATGTGACGAGCCTTCGCTTGGGCGATTGGAAGCTGTGCACATCCTACGCACAACTCCCATCATGTACTTACATAGAAGAAGCGGGCCGTTATCCGTCGCTGAGCTCTGCGCTGTCTGCTGTGAACCTTGGCTGATCTCACAGCATCCGTGGCGAGGCTGAGTCCTGCCAACATCGCGTCCATTGGTACCACAACAACTGCAAGTCAGCAACAAGAAGCGGGAGAAGGGTTGACCTATTTCCGGCCGTAGCTACGGCCTCGAATCACTATCGGAGAACTGGCCCTTGTCTGCACGGCGAGGTCTGCGGTCTCACCTGGCCGGCCGCAGTCACCCTTGGGCCGAGCCCGCGCACAACTCAGATAACGCCGGCTATAGTGTACTCCTATAGCTGATACCAACATCGCCCTATGAAGACGATCGCCAGCATGATGCCAGCATGGTCAGCAGTCGGAAGTGCGACCGTCGGATGCTCGATGAACGCTGCCTTGGAGGCCTGACAGCCACATTCAATAGCCAACAACAACGTTCGACCATTGTCTTATACGGGTCGCATGCATTCGAGTCTTACCGCGCGACTTGGACTCGTCTCCCAACTGTGCCGTCGACGTCGCGCGATATCCTCAAGAAGGGCTCGCCGTTACACGCGATGCTCCTGAGCGCACTCCCAGGGTCGGCAAGGCTGGACAACGCTTCACAAGCCACGAAAGGGCCCCTGTGCCACAAGCGACCTAACCAAACTGGCAATATTTCAGATATACAACCAATCAACCTTCAATCTCCCATATCTGCCTTACCAATAGGTATACCCAGCGTCTGTTCCCCGTGTTTCAGATCGGATCCGCTCTAGCGCTTTCCTAGACAGTAGTCGCTTCATGATAGGGTCCGCGTCGATCAGGCTCCGACAAACCTAATTTTACTTACCGCTGCACAGTACCAAACCTCACCGTTTGGTGTATGGACATGCCCTCTATCACAGTCATTGACTCGTCGACGGCTCTCGCCCGCATGAGTCTCCATGCCTGACAATCCGCAAGGCCGCCTGGCTAGCTGTGCCACAGGCTCTAACAATAGCTCAAGCACAGTAATGGCAGGGATGACTTTATGCGGCAGAGAATGCCATAGGTACATTCGATATGTCGAACAGGTTTGCTTGTGTATAGTATTCTCTTGGAGTTCTCGGCGTTATCTGCACTGCCGTGACTAGGATCGAACTCACACGCCAGCCTACAGTCCGGTTCCTTGATACATCTGCCTGAACTTTCAAAGTCGAGGTCGCTTCGGTCAATGTCACAGCGTCTGGGGAAAACATAAAACACAGAGCGGTTCGCCTCCGTTAGTTGTCACTTCCTTATCAAGCCAGCATCCTCTCGTCGAGCTCGAAGCAACTCAGTAATCCCTATTGTCACTATTGCCTAATCCACCATGAAGTACCTCACAGCGCTGTTGATACCTCTCCTCTACTGTACTCCTACATACGCAGACTTTGCCGACGACGCATTCTCAGCGATAAAAACTCTACAAGAAAAATGGTACAACTCTGATACTGGTTTATGGTACGTCGCAGTCCACTCTCACAATGGCCAAATCTAATCTCTACCAGGAACGACTTATGGTGGCAGTCTGGCAACATTATTGAGACCGTCGCGCGCTTCGGTATTCAGGATGCCGACTTCAAGGAGCACGCCATTAACATCGTCTCCACCACATACGCCAAATCGTCCCAACAGCACGGGGCAGATGGGTGGAAGAACAAGTTCTACGATGACGAGGGGTGGTGGGCCATGGGCTGGATAGCCTCATACGATCTCACTGGAGACATGAAGTACCTCGACACAGCCAGAGACATCTTCGCCGACATGACTACAGGCTGGGACGGCAATCGGTGTGGCGGCGGCCTATGGTGGTCCAAAGACCGCGACTACATTGCTGCCATCTCGAACGAACTCTTCTTGTCCGTTGCTGCCCATCTGGCAAACCGGGCCGAGGGCCAGATGAAAGAGGACTACACCAACTGGGCTGAGATGGAGTGGGACTGGTTCGAAAAGTCCGGTATAATCAACTCCGACAGCTTAGTAAACGACGGCATCGATCCATCAAGCTGCAAGAACAACGGCAGAACAACCTTCACTTACAATCAAGGCATCGTCCTGGCTGGTCTCTCGGAATTAGCTCGCGCAACAAACAACGGCGATTACATCGAAAAAGCCTACAAACTCGCTACGGCGTCGACTTCTAAACTCAGTGACGGCAGCGGTATCCTCACCGAGCCTGCTGATTATCCTCTCGACCCCGTCGCCTCGCAGTTCAAAGGCGCATACGTTCGCGGTCTATCAACGCTGTATGAAAACGCACCACAAGAAGGTGTCCAACAATTCTTCATGCGCAATGCGAATGCGGCGAGGAGTCAGCCTAGGGTTGATGGTGGCGTTATCATAGATCGGTGGCAGGGGCCCAGCGACAGTGGCAACCCGAGCACACACGCGAGTGGCATTGACATCCTAGTCGCCGCTGCGCTGGCTGGTGAAGCTTAGGCCGGCTGGCATGCGTTCCTGATTCTAGTAATGTTTTATACCCCCTTCTGTTTTCATTTTCTCGGTTGTTCGGCGCGGGATCTCGCGGGTTTGGAGTCATCTTGGTCAGAAAAGAGAGTCATTTTGTTTAATGGTAATTACGAATTTAACGACACATCAACATCGATCTCCGAATGATACTATTCGTTAACTTACCTGATGTCGTCGTTGGGATGTGCCGGGGCTACATCGACACGGGCCAAATGAAGTAAAGTTTGACCTGCAACACGTGAACGGCACACTCGCTAAGCTTTCAGTGTAACCTCGACCGGGCTCTTCCGGGCATCGCACGAGATCTCACAGCAAAAAAGCCATACAATCATCTTCATTGACACCCTGCACGCAGAGGGCATACTCTTGCGCACTCGCTGTCGAGCACGCAATGTTGCGGGGAAGCTCCGGCGTGGCCGGCACTTGTGCACGAGCGACGCGAGGTCGCGCCCAGACAATACCTAGCATCAACGTTGTTCCCAGCTCCACTCTCCTACACTTATCCGAACGCGTCCAGTACGTCCTCGCCTCACGTAAAACGTTTTTACCGAAGTGCCTTAGTCAAATCACCGCGCA